CCGAAGGTCCCGACGCCGATGTCGGTCGAACTACCGGGTTTGGAGAACTGGTCGACACGCGGTTAATTGGGTGAGACAGCAACAGCTGTTTGGCGACTGCGTGTGCGTGCGGCGGTGTGTGTGTGTGTGTGCGCGCGCGCGGGGGTATGAAGTGTGATTATGAAGGGAAATGAGCTCAGTACTTTCTTGTGGGTAGTTGTAGAGGTAGGCGCCGCTCACGTCGAACAGGGGGTTCAGCGCGCTGACGTTAGCCAGCCTGATCTGCTGCGACCAGTCCACAAGCTCGACGGTGATGCATCGTTGGAGGATGTAAGCCCAGACCACGGCCTGAGCCTGGGAGTGCTTGGTGGCGTTGGCCATCACGTTGGGCAGGCCGGCCACCCCGCGGTACCAGTTCAACTGCCCGAGCACGTTGGCCTGGTCCCCCGCCTGGTCACACCGAGAGTTATCCACGTGAGCTGAGCAGCATTTCACTGAAATGATCATACAGTACCCTGGTGTCAATTTATTTGAAGAATGATATAGTGGAGAATGATAGAAAATCATATCACTTGTTGGGGCAGGGAGGGTACTTTCATCGCGCCGGGTGAAGATGTCGAACAATTGTCTGTGTAGGCACCACCGGTCCACTGGGGCAGGTTCTGGGTATCGGGCCGGTAGCGTGCGTCCCAGAGGGCACACGCTCCAGAGTAGGAGCGAGAAACGGCCGCGTCGGCCCATAGAAGGGCAGCTGCGGCCAGCACCACTAGCAGAAGGAACCGCTCGAGCGTTGCCTGCATGAAGGGGTGGACGTGCGTTGAGTGGCGGGAGGTTTGCGAGACAGAGAGAACGTGGCGTTGGCGCGGACTTGCCGATCTGGCCAATGAACGCGTTCCCACTTTTCGTCCGAGCAACCACTTGGCACGCTGCCATTGGCTCCACATTTTCTTGTTTTGGCCCACCACCTGGAGGCCAGTGATGAACCGACCACTACCACCGCCGCGACAAAAGGCAGAGAGCTGGCGCCAGGGGGATATTGTGTGCTTCAATGAGCGGCGGCGTACCGGCGATGAGGGCGGTGAGGAGTGGCTGATGTGGTCGCCACCGCAGCCCGACGACGGCTTGATGAGCACGGCGTACGAAGTGGACGACGTTGCGCTCCCGTGCGGCAGGCACTCGCGGTTCTGGTTGAAGTTGATCTTCACCTGGAACGTGGATATCAACAGTGTGAGTTTTTGTCGTGTGTGTGGGTACGTCAACATTGTAAATCGTGCCTGATGACCAGATGGCGCCGAAGGCATCCTTGCTCGTGGTCGAGAAGCGGATGGTCGCTGTGGGCTGAGAACGGAGCTAACAGCTAACACCTCCTAACGGGCACAAGAAGAAGGAGAAGGAACCGTAGAAGGGCTAGAGGAGTGGGAGTGTAATGAACGCAGACCGGGCTCCATAATTTAAATTGTTTCAAGCCCAGCCGGCCGATCGCCACTGCGACACTGCGTCCGATACCTTACCACACAGCTTTGTAGCTTTCGGCTCCTTGTGTATCGCGCGTGCACAGAACGGTGCACTTTCTGAGCCTTGGGAACGCCGCTTTGGTGGCCTGTACGCGCGCAACGTACGTCAGCAGCTGGGAGGCACGGGTACAGCACACATTCTCGCTATCGCGGTACCTGGGCGTAGGCAGGGTCGGGCTGGACTCCTGCGGCAAGCGTGAGTTCCTTACAAAAGAGGGGGAGAAAGAAAAAAATTTGTCAGTTGCTCGAGACGAATTGCGAACGCGTGGTTTGGGAGGGGGTCGCAAGTTGGTGGTGCACCTCGAGGAGCGGGAAGCAGCCCGCCAGTGAGGCGACATCGCTGACCCCAAATTCTTTCTCTATCCGCAGTGTTCGCAGGCTCACGAACTGGGTGCGTTGGCGAGTCAGATTGGGTTGTGTGCGGTTCTGGGTGTGCGGAAGTGCGTGGTGTGCACCTGAGACAGAAAGCTCGGCCCTGCCGTGACGGGAAGCCACCGAGTGCCGCGGGATCCAGCGCTCAGCTGAAGGCTCGTGATCTGCTGCGCCAGGTCGCCCGGGACGAACTCGACCGAGCATTCTTGCCCCTCTTCTGTTGTCATGAAAGATAACGGTAGATCACGTGAGCACTGTGTCGGTTCCCCTGAGGCGTTGGGGGGGAGTCTTTACCTAGAGGCAGACGCTTGAGCGTGACTTGCTCGACGTTGGGCATAATGGAGAGGAGGCGCGTTACGGTGTCCTCCTTCGCGGTCGTGACCGCAAGCGTGCGCACAGATGGGAGCTCGGCGCCGAGCGATGCAAAGTCGTCCGGAAGGCAGTCCACCTGTACACCGCCGCGAAGACTCAGCCTTGCAGCAGCAGGCGCATGTAATGGGGGTATGGGGATGGGGAAGCTTACGCTGATGCCAAGAGTGAAGAGCGATGGAAACAGCCGCGCGATGTCGTTGATCGCAGTGCCCACTTCCGTCGCGGAGGGAGTGATCTTGAGCCACGTCTGTCACAAAGGGAGGGTAAGTCGACCAACACCCCCAACTTGGATATGTTATGCAAAAAAACGAAGAAGGCGCAGAGATGGTGTCGCACCAGGCTGGTGTTCGGCTTCTCGATCGACCCGGGCGACCAGAGAGGGCTTAGTGACAGGTCGAGCTTGGTCAGGTTCTCGAATTGCAGGATCCTCGCCAGCGTATCCCTGGTGAGCTCGTCGCAGTTACACAAGCGCAGCTCCTCCAATTGAGTCAGACCTGCGACGCTCTCCAGGATGGACTTGTAGACCCGGTACGTGGCTAAATGCAGGGCGAGATCTCATCATTAGCGACCACACACACACACCACGCCGAGGGTGAGCAGCCGTGTCACGCACTCGGGTACCCAGCGCTCTGCTCGTCGCTGCCCAGCGCCAGCTTCTGCAGGCTCGTCAGTTGCGAGATCAGCGGCGCTTTTGTGACGGGTGGTGAGTCGAGTGCCGCGGACAGAGGCGGAGCAGAGTAGAAATCAAGCAGGGACCCAAACCAGCGGATTCGGGGAATGTGCAGTCGCGAAGCGTAAGCGATTGGAGGCCCTCCCACTCGACCAAGGTCTCCATCACCGTCTCCGTGAACACCTCCTCGGCCTCGGAGAGCCGCCCGGACAGGTTGAGGCTTGTCACGGACGGGAAGTTCTAGACGCCACACAGTCACTCAATAGTTCAACAACAAAGCGGTGCACGTGGCGCTTTGGCGGTGCGCACACGTACGTGGCAGTTGAGGCATCCAAACGTGGCGTTGGTGCAGTCCAAGTCGTCGGGTGCTGACGTCAGCACGTCCAAGTGTGTAATGCTGTCCGCCGGACCCCACTCGAGCAGACCCTCCAGCAATCTGCCGGTCATGTCGCTTCGCGTTGGCGCCTCCAGACCTGAACAACCAGAAAGCCCGCCACAAGCGCCAACCGATCGTCAGATCATTGTCGTGGGCCAAGGCCTGATTATGGAAGTGTGAGCGTCTTACTGCCGAACAGCTGGTCCATGACGGCGAGATTAACACTGGTGAGTGGGAGGTCCTCGATCAGCGGCCACACCCGATCGCCAAGTAGGCCTATGCGTCACGTGACTCAGCGTGAGTTCGGCTGTGTGCTGCACATGGTGTGTGAGGCCGTGTGCGTGTGCGTGTGCGTGGGCGGTGGTGGCCCGTACGGCGGCCAAATACTTGCTCGTTCAGCCTTCCATCGCTTCGCCTAATGCATGAAAGGAAACCATGAGCAATGGCAAATAAATCTTAAGTCAGATGACAATGCACCGGATGTGTTTGTGGATGAAGAGGAAGATGGCGAGGCGGAGCTGCTCCGGCATTGCCTCCACTTCGCGACGATAGGCCGTTTCGTCGAGGTCCTCTTCCACAGGCCGTGTAGTCGAGTCCGTGTCGCGCTCAGAATCCTCGATGCGGGCGCTCGAGCAGAAGCGTGCGGCGAACCACGCCACCAGGTGCTTGCGGAGGCTCTGGGGCACCAGCGCCGCTCCTTCTCTGTGCGGCACCCGCGTCCTCATCTTCATCTTCACAAGAATAACAAATAACAAAATAAAAAATCCTAAAAAGGCTTTTCTCTTGCCTTTTTCACTTGGAAATAGTGAACAGAAGGCACGTGACCTTTTTTCACAAACCACTAGGATCATTGGCATCAGTGTGTCACACTCCAAGTGTGCGTCAGTATGTAATCCTCACATGACCTGTCACTGGCATATGTGGCACTGATTCCCCTATCCAGGTTTGTCGCCGCTGGAAAACGAGATTGAGCCGATCCGGGCTGTCCTTCAAAAGGAGGAACCTCAAGATCAACTTGGCCATCATCGTGGTGAGGAAGGGGCCTCGTTCGCCTGTTCACGCGGTACATCCACTTTTTTGCACGTAATTGCTCACCATCCGACTTCCTTACGGCTGTTTCTGACCCGTGCTTGCCGGATGAGCAGAGAAATGAACAACCCGCCCGGAACGATTGTGGACGTTGGAGTCGTGTCGATGGCTTCTATCTCATCGCGCACAGCTCTCGCATGGGTACCACATCCGCGTGGGTTACTCCGCTCGCAGGCACGGTGAAGCCCACACAGTATCAGATCGCGTATCGCACGCCTGGGGAGGACAGAGCACTCACGGCCCAGAGCCTCCAGCGCCTTTCGTTCATGCTGTGCCATCTCTACTATAGTACGCTTCGAAAGCCGCTTGACCGCTCATGAACGCGCACCAACTCACTTGGCTTTCGCGTGGACGCACGCACTCACGCACAACACAGACTTCATGGGCACCATAGCAGAGCCGGCTCCTCTGCGCTACGCCGACCGGCTGGCGAGTCTCATGATGCAGGTACTGGACAACAGGAGAATGCCGCGTGCCGAACTCTCCACTAGCCTGTACTACCTGTAGGCTCGCTCCTCGAGCCGACCTTGACGACTCACCGTCCCAGATCCTCGCTCGTCAGACGCCAATTTTGTAGTTTACTCATGTGGCTCTGTTTGTTTTCAATGTTCCTTCAGTGACCGTAGGGCTGGCGAGAGGTCATCACCACCACCACCATCAACAACATCCAGCAACTGCAGTTTTTTTGTCGTTTTCGTTTTACCCCCCCCCCATAGACCATTTCAGCCAAAGGGTGCCTCTTCGGGCAGCTGTCGCTTTTAGGGTTTGTAACAGTTTTCAGCAGCAACACCCGAAGAGGAAGAGGAGAGGTGCACGACAGAGCTCCCGCATCACCGACCCTGTATTTTGAGAGAGGAGAGGGAGAAGTTGAACAACAGTAAGAGAGAGAGAGAGAGGAGAAGAAGCAAAATGAGCAACGGTTTGATGATGGAAGGATTTCTGGTGAAGGAGGGAGGCTCGATCAAGACGTGGAAGAAGCGATGGTGTACCCTTCGCGATGGCGTCTTGTCCTACCACGCCAAGAAGGTACGCCCCGCCACTTTTTTTCTTTCCACACGCAACACACGAAAGATGAAGGCTTACCGATTCGCTCCTCTCCGGATCATTACCGATGCGTAGGGAGGAGAGTTGAAGGGAGAGGTGGCGTTGAAGGGAGTGGATGAGATTCAACCGGTGAACTACAAGTCCAAGAAGAAGAACTGCTTCGCCATGGTGACCCCCGACCGCACCTACCACTTCTCCGCAGAGTCGGACGAGTTGATGAGCCAGTGGGTCACCCTTCTGTGCAAGTCGCGTGACGCGGTCAAGGGCTACACCCCCGCCCCCAACAACGCGCCTCTAGTCCCAGTATGCCCCCCCAGCGCTCCAGATGATTTAGAGGAAATCCCAATCTTTATATTCCACATTACGCAGAGGGAGCAACCACAGATTTCGCTGGCTGCCTCGACTGGTGGTGCAACCAAGGCGAGGGTCAGCGACTTCGAGCCCCTCTACGTGATCGGTCGCGGAAGCTTCGGCAAGGTGCGTGGGCAGCGGAAGAGAGAAGAGCCCCTTTGGGCTGGCTGTTAAGACTTGTCGTTTCTTTGCGGTCTGCAGGTGTTGCAAGTGAAGCACAAGAACACCGGCAAGATCTACGCCATGAAGGTGCTCAACAAGAAGAGCATCATGGACCGCAACGAAATGGACCACACCAAGGCGGAGAAGTCTATCCTGATGAAGCTGTCGTCGCCCTTCCTGGTCAAGCTCTACTATTCCTTCCAGACCACAGACAAGCTCTACTTCATCATGGACTACATCAACGGAGGTAACTCCAGGCCCACCTGCTCCGCACCTCTGGAGAGCCCATGACTGACCCCGATTGACTGATTTCTCTTCGGTCGCAGGCGAGCTGTTCTGTCACCTGCAGAAGGAGAAGAAGTTCACCGAGGAGCGAGTGCGGTTCTACTCGGCCGAGATCGTGCTGGGCCTGGAGTACCTCCACAACCAGGGCGTCATCTACCGGTAATGCCTGTTGCCCGGTTGCCTTTGCTCTACCCTCTGCCCCACCCACAATCTCATGTCATCGGCTTGCCTCCTCCACAGGGACTTGAAGCCCGAGAATCTGCTGCTGACGGCCGACGGCCACATTTGCATGACCGACTTCGGTATCTCCAAGGAGGGCTTCGTGTGCAAGGGCGCCAGGACGGCCACCTTCTGCGGCACCCCCGAGTACCTCGGTACAAAGCCACTTCTCTGCCCACCAACGACTGCTCTTGGCATGGCCTGACCTTTTGCTCACGCCCATCCACCGCCACAGCGCCGGAGGTGTTGGAAGGACAAGGTTACGGCAAGGAGGTCGATTGGTGGAGCTTTGGCACGCTCATGTACGAGATGCTCACCGGTCTGGTACGTTTAACATATTCGCTACTTACTAGTTAAGCTTGGATTGCAGCTAATCATCCGGCCCCGCCTTTCGAATACAATACAGCCGCCGTTCTACTGCGACGACGTGCAGGTCATGTACTCCAAGATCATGAACGAAAAGCTCAACCCACCGAAGAGGATTGGCGAGGTATGATTGCAACTGGGCCTTTAGGATGAGCTTGGCCATGCCTTGTTCTTGGGGCTAATTAGTGGCCCTACGCATAGGTGGCGATCGATCTGCTGATGCAACTGTTGGAGCGTAGCCCCTCCAAGAGGCTCTGCGACCCGGAGAAGATCAAGGCCCACCCCTTCTTCAGCTCCATCGACTGGGCCAAGCTGGCGGAGAAGGAACTCATCCCGCCCTACATTCCCCCTGTCGTACGTTCTACCACCAGCCGCCCGCCAATCTCCTTCCTTGGTGCTCCCGCCAGACTTACCGTGCCTCGACGTCTGTCTTTTGTGTGCGATCAACAGAAAAGCGCACTGTCCGTGGCGATGATCGACCCCTCGTTCACGAACGAGGACTTGGCCATGAGCCCCACGGGAATGGACCCGGAGATGGCCCAGCAGGCCCACGTGGCCGACTTCACCTACGTCGCCCCCTCCGCCATCCCCGGAGGCCAGTAAGGAGTAAGACAACTTCCACCACGGCCGTACCCTCCGCCTCCCTTGGCCTGGCGCGAGCGCCCCATCTGCCCCACCTCCACCTCTTTACCCTTGTACCCATCGCCCAAAACTACATCATTAAAAAAACAGGTGATCCATTCCTTGATCATCATCATCATTAACATTTGAACATACAATACACCACTCAGAGACCAACACACTACAGCATCACAGCTGGGATTGGCCATGGATGGTGGAAACTAGTGGGTCGGCTGCACGGCGCACGGGGCCACGTAGGTGAAGTCATCCAGGTGGGCTTGCATGGCCATTTCCGGGTCCATCTTGCCTGCCGGACTCTCGCGCACTCGCTCGCTAGTGAACGTCGGGTCGATCATGGCCACCGACATTGGGTCGTTCTGCACACGACGTAAGTCGTTGAGACCCAATGCAGCCATCAGGCAACACCAGCGATCGGCAACACCAGGAGATGATGATGGTGGTAGGGAACGTACTACAGGTGGTACATAGGGCGGGGTGACCTTTTGCTCCGCCAGCTTCTGCCAGTCGATGGTCTTGAAGAAGGGATGGGCCTTGATCTGGTCGGGCTCGCACAGTCTCTTGGCCGGATCTCGCTCCAGCAGCCGCATCAATAGATCCACAGCCGCCTTGTATGAAATCAAACCACATCAGTTGTTGACGAGAAGGAGGAGAATGCTGTGATGGAGCTTTACCTCGCCTATCTTGCTCGGCAGCTGGAGCTTTTCGTTCATGATTTTGGAGTACATCACCGCACGGTCGTCGTTGAAGAAGGGCGGTTGGCCCGTGAGCATCTCGTACAGCAGCGTGCCGAAGCTCCACCAATCCACTTCCTTGCCATATCCCTTTCCCTCGAGCAGCTCCGGCGCTGCATCCAGTGGTCAACGTGACCACAATGAAATGAGCCATCGTTGAGAGAGCGTCGGTCGGTCCGGGGGGGGGTAGCCGTACCAAAGTATTCGGGGGTGCCGCAGACTGTGGCCGTCCTGACGTCCTTGCCCACGAAGCCCTCCTTGGAGATGCCAAAGTCCGTCATGCAGATGTGGCCCTCCGCCGTCAACAGCAAATTCTCAGGTTTTAGGTCCCTAAGAGGCGTGTCAGCTGACGTGAGTGCTTGAGCGTGTGCGGTGGCGTGTGCGCGAGGTGTGTGCGGTGGTGTGCGTGCGTGTTGGGGTAGGAGCAGGTGTGCAGTCGTTACCGGTAGATGATGCCTTGGTTGTGGAGGTACTCCAGCCCAAGCAAGATCTCGGCCGAGTAGAACCGCGCTCGATCCGGTTTGAACTTCTTCTTCTTCTGCAGGTGACTGAACAGTTCGCCGCCGTTGATGTAGTCCATGACGAAGTAGAACTTTTCCGCGGTCTGGAAGGAGAAGTAGAGCTTGACCAGGAAGGGCGACTCGAGCTTCATCAGTATCGACTTCTCCGCCTTGAGGTGCTTCATCTCGTTGCGGTCCATCACCGCCTTCTTGTTGAGCACCTTCATCGCGAATATCTTGCCCGAAGTCTTATGCCTCACCTGCAACACCTGCAACGATGGTGACGTGTCGTGCCTTGTGCGGTGGTGCGTGTTGCGTGCGTCAAAGACGAACCTTGCCGAAGCTGCCGCGGCCGATGACGCACAGGGCCTGGAAATCATTTACATGTGCCTTGGCCAACACTTGTGGTGGCTTGCTGGGCTCGATGCCGTGGAGGGTGTCGCGGGAGCGGCGGAGGGCGTCGATCCATTGATTCACCAGCTGTCTGGAGTCTGCAGAGAAGTAGTAGATGCGCCCAGGCGTGTGGACCTCGAAGCAGTTCTTCTTCTTATATCTGACTGGCTGTATGTCTTCGACTGTCTTCATATCCAGCTGGCCCTTCAAGGGGGCGCCCTGGTTGGCACAAGACAGAGATTAATCATTTCGGCACCAACAATAATCAGACGAGCATATGGGCACACCTTTTTTGTTTGATAGGCGAGTATGCCGTCGTTGAGGATGCACCAACGCTTCTTCCACGTCTTGATGGCTCCTCCCTCCTTGATGAGGAACCCCTCCATCACATTGAACCCTCCAGTGGCGCTGCGTGATAGTGGGGAACGCTCATTTCCCGGAGATGTCATCTTCTTCGCTTTCGGTTGTGGATGCTTGGTGGCCAACTTCTCCTTGGTGGTATCTTGGTGTCGCTATGGACCTAAAAAGCACAGTTGCCCAGGCGGGTGCCTCTTTAAAAGCAAAGTGAGAAATGATCAATGAAATTCATACCTAAAACAAATCAAAAAAAGATTTAAAAACAGTCGAGAGATGATGCGAAGACGTGCAGAGAGGGCCACGAGCTTGTTCCGAGTGCGCACTTGCTCGGTGCCGACGTATGCTGTACCACTGACGATGAATTCGCATCAGCGATGGCTGGCAACGAAATCGTCGGAGCTGGACAAAAGGATGGCGGCAGCAGGACCGCGTCTGCCGGGAGAGTACGACGTCTTTGGCGATGGTGGAGATGGCGAAGGATCTCACGGCAACAAGGTAATGGTCGACGGCTACAGCGGCTCGCGATTCAGCATCAACGGCGTACTGCTGCCCGGCCCGCTCTTCCTCCTCCCCACCCTGCCCCTCGCCTGGAACGTCACCTCCCTCGACGAGCTATCACCCGAGTCCCTTGCCCTGGCCTATGCCATACGCCCTCGCGTCTGTACGCTCCACGTCCACCATCACCGTCATGATCGCACATCTGCTGCTCTGCCGCTGACTGCGGTATGCGCGCAGCCATTTTGATATTGGGCTGCGGCCAAAGGATCAAAATGATCAACCCACAGTTGCGTGACTTCTTCCGCCAGAAGGGGATCTCCATCGAAGCGCTCGACACGGTAAGGCCTTCCCACTCGCACCCTGCTCCCTGCGTCTCGCCACCGACTGGTGGGAGACTGGTGGGCTGACAGCGTTGGTCTCGCTTCTTGTAGTGGAACGCGGTGGCGACGTGGAACATCCTCAACCAAGAGGACCGAGCCGTGGCTGCTGCGCTCATGCCCTTTGACTACGAGTGACGATCTCGTTCCCACTATCACGGCGTGTATAGATTCACACTTTACAAGAGGACGGTTCAACAACCGTGTGGTGTGGTGTTCGCTGCCTGTGATGGTCTGAGAGAGATTCACCCCCAGCTTATATCCGACTGCAATGGCTGCACTGCAAGGATACTGTTGCTCGTGTCGCTCTACCCCACCTCTGTGACTCCAGTGAGGATTGCAAAAAATAATAAACCAAGTTTGATCTCAGCTGGACGACTTGATTTCAGGAAGAAGAGATCATCTGTTTACACAGCACCCCCCCCCGATAGGGTACTATCTGGCCGGCTTCTTCATGAAGAACCGCTCCAGCCTGTCCACTTTCCTTTTAAAGCTGTCAGCAGGAATTGGACGACAAAATGTCCAAGCAAGGAGAAGAAAGTCGAGACGCGCTACACGATTGCTTTACCTTCTCCATCTCCAGTTCCTCGATCTCTTTCAACAACATGCCATTGATAGCTTGGTAGTTCAAGACATTCGCTCCGAGAACCGAGGGGGGCAAAACTCCAAGCATAAGCAGAAGAGCTCCACCGCCTGCTGGTGGGCGAGAGGCTTCCCCCCCGCCAGAGAGCCCTGCTAGAAGCCGTTCGGCATCTGCGACGGCTCGAGCAGGTCGAGCGACACGCTCATGAGTTGCGGTCGGCGTGGCTCCCTGCCCTGCCACGCTAAACGAGAACACGTCGGCCCTCGTCGTCAGTTCGCCGCGAATCACCCTCGGCGCCGTTCAACACGGCCTGGCGCATCGCGCCGATCGATGAACCGCTTGACTGCCAAGGCCCACCAACCGCCTGCCCCACACCGCTTCTGGGCCGGCAGACACTCCGGAGTTGTTCACAACAAGCCTGACAGGGTTCCCAATTCCGTGGTATGTCTTGTGGCATAGATTTGTCGTCCAGCCTGCTTGACTGCGCGAAGCTACGCAACGTACCAGAAAGAACCAACGCCCTCAGGCTCCTCGAGGCACAAGATGACTGTGATTATGGCGATGACGATGCTTGCTTCTTTTCGTGGTGCACTAGTCGCTCTCGTGGGGGGCTGCGGCAGCCTTGGCGTACTCGTTGATGCGACGCCGCCGCCGCGAGGCGAGCAAGGCCCGAAGCCAGGCGTGGAAGGACCCCAAGAAGCAGTGCGAGG